TCATGAAGTCTGCCGAGTGCCTCTCCTTCCTTAGCACGCACAATTCATGAGAATGCTTTGACGGTGGAGGCTTATGGAGTCTTGCTTTCAAAGGCGAGAGCCCATTCCTTCTACGGGCTGACAGTTTGCAGAGGCACAGTCCTGACATCCGCGCCTGTAAAGAACCACGCACATCCTACTTCAACTCTTGAAGCGCAGATTGGCTTCCGCACGCGGCCTAGAAAAATCTGCGTTTCATAACTCAACGTCTCGCGCCACCGTCCATACCATTGTTCCGACTTGCTTTGTAGGATTTCGTAGGGGAGTCGGAAGCAATAAACTCGAATCCTGCCCATCAAAGGGTACGCCAACCGCGACACAACGCTCGCCATGCTTTCAAGAGTGCTTCGCGCTCTTGCACGTAAGGTTTCGTAGAAGCATTCTAAAAGAAGTTCTTCAGAAAACTTACCAAAGACAAAAGCTTTTGCATGTGAAGCTTCATAGAAACATTAGAATAGAGGTTCTGGAGGCAACGTAACAAAAATGAAAAAGATATAGTTTTGCCGCCACAGAAAGGTTGCGGCCAAGTTTCCGCTTTGATGATGTCATTCAGCACACCCGACCTGGCCTGCAGTGCAAGTTGAACCTCCGGATCAGCCAAGTTGTAGATCCGCTTGCACTTCTGTGCGGCTTCAGAGGAATCTGTCATGAGCTTTGCCAAAGCATCAATATTGGCCCGCACGGCAGCCCCTCCAGGTAGCTGAGATTGAAGCCGATCGCGCGCACGTTCCAGCAATCCCGTGTTGCAGCATGATGCTTCTCTAACCTGATTCAACATCCCATCCTTCACTTCAGCAAAGCTCTTGTCAAGCTGCGACTTTGCTTCAACTTTCATTGTCTCAGTTGATGCGCCCTTCACAACCTTGCAATATCCTGTTATGGCAGCTGCTAGTTTCCGGATCTTAGAATACAGAACAGCACTTCGGCTTCGTGCCGCCTTCTTTCCTTGGACTATCTGCTGCAAGTCTTGCCGGACCTCATTCCTGGCACATCCATGGCCATGTCCTGTATCAGCTGTACGGTGTCCAACGAAAACGTTCATAGCCTCCACGGTTTCTAAAAGAAGGACTTCCTCTTGCTGGTCACAGAGGAGACCATCAATCTGCTTCATGATAGCATCAACCACCAATGAGAAGCTCTTTCCTGATCTCCTCATCCCCTTCAAGACTTGCCCGGCCAAACACCGAGGCATCAGCATTTCTGAGGAGCCCTCGCTCATACTTGCCTCTGAGGACTCGTACATGCGATCCAGGTTGCGCTGGTCACAAACAGTCTTGTTGAGCCCTCTCGCCGCAAGGTCGGCACGATGAGCAAGGATCTTCTTGCAGTGAATCTTCGCGATCCCCATTTCCTGAAGGTCGACATCAGTCAATTCCATCAGTAAAAGGCCGTCAACAGACTCTTTTTGAAACTTCGGCAAATATTTCTGGTATGCTGGCCCCAAGGAAGCGAGCCAGTCCGCAACGCTTTGCGAGTCCATGGTGGTTACGTTCTGATTTGGAACTAGGTCAGGCAGCGACTCCACCTTGCCACGCCTCAAGGGCCAGGCTGTGGACGTGAGGAGACGGCGGTTTTTTCCTTCTGCGCGCGGCTGTCCGCAGAAGCTGTGAGGACCTTTGAGGCGGCAGATCATGGCGATGGCAACAGCCAGAAGCAAAAACTTCCCGGAGCGTTTGCTGACCATCGCTAAGGGCAAAGGGAGACTCAAGCTGCAAGCTCTGGGGCCGACTAAGCATAAATGTCCTGCTTCATGCACAGGGTCTTGTCATTCTTCACAGCTTCACTTCACGATTCGGCCAGAAGAGAACTGTGTTGCTGCTTGCTCGGCAGGCCTGCATTGCTCTGACGGGCAGTGAGGATGAGCAGCATTTGCTCATCCTGGCTGCTCGGGCTATGCATCTGCCGAACTGCACCCAGGCTGCGCGAGTTTGACGAAGATTTAAAATGCGTCCTTACCTGAAAGAAGTAGGCAGCGGTGTTCTGACTCCGGGGGGGGGGAGGAAGTTCCG